ACTTCGTACCAAGCCTGTATATTCTTTGGCCTATTTGTGAATGATGCAAGCCCAGTGGTGGTTTGCTGTCCTGTGTGAAATATTTTAATAGTCTCGATGCCCCCATTAAGTTGCCACTGGGATTTTCTGTCAGCTTCTTGGCAAAAAGTCAGAGACTGAAAGCAGTGGGCCCCAAAAAAACATGTTATGGTGATCCTGTGAGGATAGGGCAGCCTTGAAGCTCTGCGTTTTCGCTATCCCTGGGCTACAGGAAGAGAATTTCTATCTTTATCGTTGCCCATCTGGCACTTTTCACAGGCAGCAAGAACAAAGAAGTAAAATGTACTGGTCCCTACCATCTGCTTCTGCTCGTAAAGTCTAGAAGGAGCCTGATGGGGGGGAAGAAAGGGTAAAAAAAAGAAAAAAAAAAAACAACAAAAAAAACCAACAAAAAACCCAACCCCTTAATTTCCCCCCAAACTCTTCCGGCATCCAGCAGGTACGCATTTTTGCCTCTACTTCTTACACATCTTAGGGCAACCCTAGAGGCCCTTGGGCTCCCTACGGTGATGCAGCTGCTCACCGCAGAGCATCCCAAATGCTCCTGGCCCCACACCTTTGCTTGCAAGTGCCCAACAGCCCGGAAAGAAAGGTTGTGCTGTTTGAGATTTGCTTTATTGGATCAGCCTCTGTTTTATCTAGAATAGGAAAATTCCTGTGGGTTTAATAGGAGGTATTACCCTACAGATTTTCTCTGGTTCCACCTCCTTTCCCATCAGCCACATCCCCTCTTGCTGCAAGGCTGCATACACCATGTGTTGGCTCGACCCCTTCTGTCTCTGACAGAAGTTTGGCCAAAAAGAGCAGATTTTCTGCTACTTTGATCATTTCCTGTGGTAAAAAGTGAAGGGAATTATCTGACCCGTGGTCTTTTTTTTTTTTCTTAGTTTTGAAAAATAACATGGATTATATTTGCAAGTTCCCTTAAATAGTGTACTTGCTTTTCAATAGCATTTTGCTGCTAGTTTACTAGTTGTCTTACAGAACGTGGGTTTTTTAGAATCAGAAAACACATTGCTCCGATCTCAAATTCTGAGACTCAGCTGCTGTATTACATCAGTAATGAACTTCACTGTCATGAAGCAACCAAAAGGTAATAATCAAATTCACAGACAATACAAAAGTGACAACTTCTCCCCTGTTAAAAAATTTTTACATTTAAAAAATAAGCTTAATTCTCTTTTGGTGGGGAACAGTGTTATTTTTTGGCTACAAATGTGCACTGCGTAAGTTAACCCTTGTATTAAGTGCATTATTAGAGTATTATTAGATCTATGACATACGTGATATATAGGCACCCTGAAGTACAAAGTTTTCTTTTGTCAAACCTTTCACCAAGGTTCCAGATCAGAAATCGCATCTCATGCTTGTCTAAGCCTATGTTGAAATAGCGACACTACCTGTTGACATAGATGGTGTAAGCATTTGGGCAGCAGGGGCCTGAAGTATGACGCCAAGTGATCACCAGTGACCTTGGTGGGGCCTGCGACTGCACCCTGAAAACTAGTCCATTTTGTATTTTTTCTGTCCCAGGAAGCACAAAGCAATCAAACAACATGAATATGCCTACTGAAAGAATGTCTTCTATTGGAATTAATATTCTATAGGAATACATTCCAAAGAAATTATCAGAATAGACATTAAGTCTTTATAAACATGGCACTACGGCATTTAACTACACGTATGTTCTCGCTTAGCAGTGGAACCGCACGCTTTCAGCTCCGAATATGCCACAATGTATACAGAGACTTTTTCCTGTTAATCATTTACTCAAAGTGCATAAAAACAGTTGTACTTGTTCGCATCAAGAGCTTTTTTTTTTTTTTTTTTTATTTTTTTTTTTTTTTTAAATCCAGTTTGAATCTTTTAAAACATGTAAAGGGCTGATATAATGAGTAACTATCATTTGAGACAAAGGAAGAACTGATATGTCTGAAAGGAAAATGTCAATGCCACAAAAATATCATGGAAATGTTACAGTAAGTTACTTTGGTGAATTTACTATTTGTGTATATACCATTCTTTTTTTAATCAGCCTGTTAACTAAAGTCACGGCCTGGCTACTTCTCACATTTTACTTTATAAAACCCCCACACCTCAAAAGCAAAGGGAAACCTAGAGCAGTTTGTTTTCCTTCGGTATTAAATAAGGGAGAAGATACAGACTTATTTATATATGTATGCATGTACTTCAAAATATAATCAGAAAGGTGGGGGGGAAAGAATCTGCAGCATCCTTGTTAAAACAAAAATTGCACTAAGCCGCTTACAACAAAATCTTACCACAACAAAAATCAGCACTATCATCGTTAATAAGATATTGCCTTTCATATGCAGAGGTAATAAGGAGGCTCTGTGAGCCGTATAACCTCAATAATGTACAAATGAATCAAAAAGAATCTCATTAGTTCAGCAGCACCAAAAATTATTAAGCAGAAACATCAAAAGAGCCAGTGGGACGCTACTTTTTTTTTTTTTTTTTTTTTTTTTTTGTCAGAGACACTGCAGAGCTGCCCTTCGGAATCCTCTGGTTTCTATCTGGGAGCAGGCCTCACAGATGTAGGTCACGGTGACTTAAAAGAACTGGAGCTAGGGGATGCTGCCCCCGTACCTGTACCCTGCCCGAGCAGCACCACCCTGCAGCCGCCTCAGCACCATCTCCGCGCCCCCCAGAGCGAGTTGTGCACCATCCAAGATCTGTGCAGAGGAAGGGTGGAGCCGGTTCCTCACCTCCTGTCTGCAGCCACAGAAGAGAGTACATCCTGACAGCCTTACGTCTGCTACAACCCCTCTCTCCTCCTTCCCCCCTGTGCAGCTGCAGGGAAGAAGGGAGGGTAGATTGGGACGGTATCTCGGCTCCCCCGGAGACACGCTACGAGGGAAGGAGGTACGTGGGACAGTTGGGCAGGCAACCGCACACGCCAGAGAGGCACGGGACCTCCCTGTAGATGGCCTTGGCTTCTCTGAATCCCTCCGGAGTCCTACAGCTGTTCCTGCCATCCAGATGGGAAAACGTGTGTGCACGCACACGCGAGAGAGCCCCCGAGGAAATACCTGTGGAGGCATCTAAGTCAAAGTTAGAACAGCGCGTGTCTATATTTATTATTTATGAAAAAACAGGGAGAGAACTTTTCTACTGTACCGCACAGACGCGGACGTCCTTGCCTCCGCAGCACATACTGCCAGGGTTACATTGCATCTGAGATAACGTAGTGAGAAAATCATACCCCAGAGGAACGTAGCATGGACTGATTTTTCACAAAGAAAACTCCTAATCATCCAATTCACTGAAGTCAGAAAAGTTTCATTTACAAATAAACAAAACCTAATACTGGGGTCCACTGTTCATAAGGAATTATTTTTTTTCTAACCCTGAAGATGTGGATATATAAGCTTGCTCGTATCTCCTTTGACGGGACGTATTTGTCCGCTACCCAGTAATGTTTCGTTCCCCTTTGAAATTAAGTAAAAGCATCACGTGCAAGAGAAACAATAACGCCGTAAACCTTTCACTACTCCAGGACTGTTCCACATCCAAACCCAACAAGGTTTACTTCTTCAAAGGAATAAATAGGACAGTACTTGCATAGTAAAGGTTTAAACCGAGGCAACACAATTTTTAAGGTACATTCTCCAATAGCTTTCAACATCGTTCAGTTTGCAGACCTATTAAAAAAAAAGTAAATCCAGCTATGCAATGGAGCTGGGCAGACAAACAAAGCCTCCTTGCCAGAAGACCTGCTCTTCTATTTACCTTTCATGGAGCATATAGAAAGCAACAGACCCCACGGGTCCACAAAGACCAGGCTGAGAAAAAAACCACCCTTGCAGTCACGGGAACTACTGTGGTGTACCCTCAGGTCCGCTCACAGCTGCCAAGGAAGTCAACTGGAGGGGGACCAGGCCTCACAAGTTAGCGAACTTTCCCCGTTACCTGCAACGTCAAACTAGAACTACTTTGACAGACATCTGTACTGAGGAGCTCCAGCACAAACCTCCGAGGAACCGAAGGGCCCGCTCCGGCAAACCTTCACCCTAAGCAGACACAGGGAACAAGCAGGGCTAGCCAGCAGGGTCGAGATGTTCAAGAAATCCTTAATATACTAATAAGGAAACTCACAAATTTAACACAGATGGCCCACAACGTCCGCAAGGGTTAAAATACACAAGCTTCTCCGAGATAGCACGGAATGCTGATAACGACAACCAAAGCCAGCCTATGCCCCGCTGCAGCCCCGGCAATCCCAAGGCATGCAGCACTGTCCAGCTTTCCACAAACACAACTCCAGAGGCTCGCTGTCAGAGGCATCCCCAGGAGGAGGGGTGGTATTGCGGGAGGGCCAGTATTTATGAAAATAAAAGAACTGACTTGCAGCCTGTACGCTGCTGTCTAGAACTACAGTTACATTTGTACCACCCATTCCCTGGGGAAAATGACATACAATGCAAACAGGCCTAGTGGTTCAATTATTCAAGTATTAAGAGATTCACAGAAAGACATCTGAGAAACATAACATTTTAATAGATGAAATAAATACTCCAGTACATGCAAGATAAAAACTGACATTGGAAAAAAAAAATTAAAAATCACTTTCGTTATAGTGTAATTTTTTGTTTGTTTGTTTAAACACTCACAGTAGCTTTTCCCCCAGTTTGGAAATCAACACATGGAAAACATAATCACAACCTCCAGTCCTTCCACTCCTACACACCAAATGCACTTCTAACCTAACACTTGATGCAAAATAAAAAAAAAAAAAAAAAAAAAAAATCTACAAAACGAAAACAAACAAAATAGTAGCTACATCCATCATCTAGGTGGTGTTGGGTTTTTTTCATTTTTTAAATGAGTGAGAACTGAGGTAACCTTTTTCCTGCACAACCGGACAGTAAAATTTAGAAGGGAAATTTCGGAAGACAAGACAAGACAAACTTTAAAAACCGCACCCAGCGCGATTAAAGCTTTTTTTTTTTTTTAAGATACCCCCACCTCCCCAAATATTAAAAAAACCAACCAAAAACTTTTAAACAGTTGTTATTACCATTTGTGTGAAGACCTTGCTGAATAAAGGAAAATTTATCTACAGATACTTGCTTGACTTTAAAGTAAAATAAAAAGAAGCCAAAACTGGCTACCTTTGTTAGTACGCATAGTTTGAAAATGCTGTTCTGCTTCTTCACCACATGAAATCAAAGGATTGGGCTCATCCAAGCAAATTCTTTGGTATACAAAAAAGGGGTGAGGAGGTGGGATATTATTTTCCTTTAGCAATGACTGGGATCTAAACAGAAGATGGGGGGGTTAATTCACAGAATTGGAGTTCACTGGCGGTAAAGTCCTGGGTGAAGATCTTTCTCTTAGTGCCTGAGATAACAGGTTGCAACCATCCGAGACGGCGCAAGCTGAGTTCCTCAACCTTTCCCTGTAATCGCTCATTTTGGTGCTACTTTCGGGGTGTTGGGCTATATCCCTGAGGCATTGGGTCAGGAGCACACAAGCAGATACCACGCTCATGGCTCCTCCTAGGATGGCAGTTTGCACAGCTTTGCCCTCTGGATTAATGGTGGCAGCTTTACCCAAAAACTGGGGCTCAGTGGCAAAGCCCACCAGAGCATAGACAGACTGCACCAAAGGTCCACTGAACAAGACGCATCGGTTCCTGGTCAGCTCGCTGGGTGAAGTCTTGACCTCCTTGACACACGCCAAGAGGGCGGAGGCGCTGGTGCTCATACATTTGACACTGAGTTTGAACTGCTCCTTAGCAAATTTATCCTTGGATTTCTCACTGGCCAGCACGCAGGCGTCTGTCAGGAATTTCAAGTTCTTGGACATGTTCTGAGAAACCTCCAGCAAGAGCTGAGGGCTCATATCTGCCAAAGGGGTGGTCTTCAAGACCCCACAGCCGTGCTCCACCTCATGCCTACATCGGGTCACCTTGTAGCGATCCACCAAGCCAGGCATGGCAGGCTGGGCCCCCGCAGCCTCCACTGCAGCCAGGTAGGCAGCGTGGGCAGAGCATTCGGTCAGGGAGACCACCAGCTCCCCCATCTCCATCAGGCTTTCCCCCACCTCCCCGAAGCGTCCCATATTGAGCTGGCTCTGGACGTCATGGGTCAAGATGGAGAGTCCTTTGGTCCTGGCAATGATCGTGTCCCTGCACTTCTCGAAGGACTCACCGAAGACAGACAGGCTCTCGGTGTTCACCGGCCTGGTCTCGCTCGACAGCAGCAGCAGATCAGCCACCAGTTGCATCTTGATCTTGCAGTGGTCGCAGATAGAGACGAGCTTCTTCCTCTGCAGGGAACCGCTGCTGGG